AGCTTCCCGGGATCTGGTCAGGTCGAGCATAACCCCTTGATTCAGGGGGAGCTCAGCGCCACGAGACCCGGTGACTGGACCACTGCTGCAGCAGTGACAGGATTCGCTGGGCTCTGGATTCTTTTGACGGGTACAAGAGCCCGGAGACTAACGTGCTCTTTCCCGTCCTTCTTCAGAATTGAGGGGATGGGCTAGTCAAGCATCTGATCCGTGTCTTTAGAGCGTGTCTCGCCTTGAGCTACGTACCTAAGCCATGGCGGTAGGTCAAAATAGTCTTTATCCGAAAAACGGGAAAAGACAGATATGACCAAGCAAATACTTTTAGGCCCATCAGCTTGACGTCTTTCCTGCTGAAAACGCTGGAGAGACTCGTTGATAGGTTTATAAAAGATGGAGCGCTGGCAAGGATGCCGGTGCAGCCATCGCAACACGCTTACCAAGCAGGTAAATCTGTCGAGACGGTTCTTCATGGCCTCGTTCGTGAGATCGAAGGTGCCCTCGAAAGGAAAGAAGCCACGTTATGTATCTTTTTACACGTCGAGGGGGCGTTCAATAAACCCTCCTTTGAAACTATATGCGGAGCAGCGAGGGATTTCCACATCGACGACACTATCGTCCAGTAGTTAGACTTCATGCTTCGCTTACGTATCACCACTGATAGCCTCAGCGGGACGGACATCAGGGCGCACGTCGGCAGAGGGTGCCCTCAGGATGGAGTTACCTTCCCACTGATGTGGCTCATGGTTGTCGACGGGTTCCTAAATAGGCTCAGGGAGCTGGCGTTTAAAACGGTTAGGTATGCCGATGACGTCTGCATAGCGGTCACCCGCTATCACCCGGCCACGATGTCGAGCAATATGCAAAGAGCGCTCGACATCGTTCAGGATTGGTGCACGTCAAAGTTATTGAGGGTGAACCCGAATAAGACTGAGATGGTGCTCTTTACGAGGAAGAGGCATTTCAACATAAGGCCTTCCTCAATATTTGAAACTGAGCTGACGTTCTACCAGAAAATTCGCTAACTGGGGGTGACGCTTTTTAGCAAGCACAGGTAAAAAAGCCACATCCACAACCAGGCCAGGAGGGCTATTAATACCTTCTGGGCCTGCAAAAAGATGTTTGGAAAGACGTAGGGGTTAAAACCACGGATGGTAAGGTGGATTTAGACCGCAATACTTGTCCCTCAACTGACGTACGCCTCTTTAGTTTGGTGGCTTGACGTCGAGCGGGCTCAAAACAGGAAAGCGCTAGACAAGGTCTATAAGCTAACAGGGCTGGGAATTACGGGCGCGATGCGCACTACCCCGACCCTAGCTCTAGGGGCCCTGCTCAACATCTTACCTCCGCACATTGCAGCGGAGGAGAGAGCCAGAAGCGCAGCCTTTAGGTTGCTAGTCAGTAGGAGCTGGAGGCGGGCCTCCTACGGGCACGCATCGATCCTGTCAACAACGGAAGACTTCGAGGAAGTCAACCGTCTTGAAAGTGACTGGTGCCCGAAGGAGTACCATTTCCAGCACAACTATAAGGTCCCAGACAGACAGTCATGGGCAGCGGATAATCACTTATTTGCACCCGCAGGGCCTGTCTGGTATACAGATGGGGCTAAAGCGGGTTTCAACGCGGGAGAAGGGGTCTGGTCTAAAGAGCCTAGGACCGAATTGTCCGACACCCTAACTGGTACCGCCTCTGTTCTTCAGACGGAGCTGTTTGCCATTCGTGCCTGCGCCCGCAGTATCCTGGAAAGGGGGTATTATGGCAAACATATCTACATTTGTAGTGACAGCTACACTGCGCTCAGACTTTTACACAGCACCGTGGTCAAGTTAGGGCTGGTAAAGGACTGTGTCGACTTGTGGACACGGCTAGGCAGTGTCAACAGAGTAAGGTTGCTCTAGGTGCCAGGTCATAGTGGCGTTCAGGGCAACGAAAGGGCGCACGAGTTTGCCAGACTTGGAGCTTCACGGCACGATCTGGCAAACCAATGCCACATCAGCATGTCAGAGGGGCTCATGCGAAGGAGGTCTAAGAAGTAGGCCACGGACCGCTTCAGGGATCTCTGGGTGCAAGGCCTTGGCATGAGACACACAAAGGCTCTGTTTTCAGGGCCTTCGGAGAAGCTAGGTACCGAGTTTATTAACCTGGATCGAGCCCAACTGAGGCTGGTTGTAGGATTGGTAACCGGGCACTGACACTTTAGAAAGCACCTTACGCGACTGGGCCTTGCACAAGACGATTTTTTTAAACAAACCAATTTTTCTAAGATGCAGTAAATCTAGAAACATCTTTAGATTACTAAAAAATGTACAATGATAATATAACATTTTTCTTGTAATTTTATCGGTTTTAAATTACTAGAATTTTTTTCATTAAAGGTTCATGAATCTAACAATATATTAAGATAGAATTTTTTTATTCCTATAATTTTTCTATAGTGCAGTCAAGAAAAAAACAAACTTTTATTATCTGAAAAAAGTAGATACATTTTTCAACAAAATTACTGTAATTCGATCGATTTTTACCATAGGTAATTTATGTATTTAAAAAAAAACGAAATATTTGGAAGATTATGACATCGGATTAGTTATGACCAAGGATTCCTCAAATAAGTGTCCTCTGATAATTAGTTGCTGGGGATGAGGAAGAAAGGATTAGGATAAAATTAATAAAACACGTGGTTAAGCCGAACAAAGAAACAATGCCTTTTTTATTGGCTTGTCAGGGAAAAGCTTTGCGGCATAAAAACACTGGATGATATTTGATTATAACAATGAGAGTCTACCACGTGGTGTTGCCAGACGGGAAAATATCGTCGATGTGAAATGTATATAATGGAAAGATCTCACCTCTCGCTCGCTTCGGTTACGTTCATTAACTAATTTAACTTAACTCCTTTGATTTAGATATATATTCACAGGTGTCCAGTGATGAAATGAAAAAACGTCCTTTTGTACTGGCCCAGCAGGGCGTATGCGCTAAGGGTGCGAGAGGTAGGGGTAACTATAGCAGCACTTCGATAGTTACTAGTATCGATGCTCGCAATGAGTATCGATCTAGAATCCTAATCGATAGAATCAGACGCGCGCGATTTAACTATAGCTAATTACCGTACGATCATTTTGGATCGTACAAGCATCGATATTTGCATTTTTGTAGAATTGGTAAAATAGAACATAAATGATCTATTGTCGTTCATAGAGGGATCTGCATTACTGACAATATCGGTCAGTAACCAGGTCGGTCGGTAAGCGGGGTCGGTAATACCGACATTGGGTTCTTCCAGTACTGACTTTATCGGTCGACGTTATAGTGAAGTTGTTTATTCGAATTTATTATTTTAACGTGCATAAAATATTCACACGTTCTTTAACTTTGTATTATATTTCTTATTCATAGTATGCATGAAATATTTACACGTGCATATTTGCTGACGGCGCGGTTGCCAGGATTCGCACTTAATAACATTTCAATGTAATTGACACTTATCTCTTTTCGGAGAATTCGCGCTTGATAGTAACTAATATTTATTCAGTTTCGAGAAGTGTGATTGTCAGCGAATTCTTCTCCTTGACTTGAGTCTCACGGTTTGGAAGTCAGTAGTGGGGGAAGCGTTTAGCATTAGTGGGAGGTACTGCTACCAGTGATCCCATTCGTACGATGATTATCGTCCGCGTACGATAATTTGAGGCCACGTACGATCCAAAAATCGTGGTGTACGATCCAATTTGAAATTTCGAAAACTTAATGACCTTTTTTTTTTTTAGTCAATAAATTTTGGAAAGGTGCACCACCACCCCTACCACTAATACCACCCCTACCACTACCACCACCACCACCCCTACCACCACCACGATCCGTGTACGATCTCTGTACGAACAAGTCTATCTCCCTGCGGACCGCCGTTTGTATCGTTTTTTATGATAGGGGTTTTGAACTTGATGACTAAAAAAAAAGAAAAAAGGTCATCAACTTTGAAAAAAATGGAACTTGCACTCTTTTTCCACATTTTGAAAATCTCGTCCGAGAAATTGTCGGATTTCAAATTTTCCTGGGGCGTACGATAATTTTACGCTCCTGTGTCGATCAGACGAACTAAAGTCTCTGAGATCACTGGTATTTGTGCCCCTTTTCTAGAGCACTATAGAGATGAGTACTCTCATCCGCCATTTTCACTCCTACAGAGAAGACACCAGTATCGTTTTGTATAGTAAACACGTTTNCCAATTACAGAGCATAATGCGACTCAGTGGCGCACAATGCCGAATTGTGCTAATGCTTAATTAGAGCACTATAGAGATGAGTACTCTCATCCGCCATTTTCACTCCTACAGAGAAGACACCAGTATCGTTTTGTATAGTAAACACGTTTGTTGACATCAAGCGAGATTTAATTATTTATTGATAATGTAGGAAAATTGGTATTTAGTCATTTCATCTTCAGTTATATAWATATATGTAAGAGTGCGAGTGTATGGTGTACATGGAAGTGGTTGATGAAAGATTTGTAGCGATATGGATATGAGTGTGAGTGCACGCAGCGATATGGATACGAGTGCATGTGGCAAGAAAGAAAAGCGTACAATATCGGCTGATATCATCGTTTGTAAACACCCTGAAATCTCTCGAATGTTCCTGAACCGGAAATCGGGAAGAAGTCTCTTTGTTTGACCGATTGGGAATAGTCTGGAGATTTCTAAAATGATTAACGGAAGTGATCGGGACCATTGGTGGGGTAAATGCATATATAAGCGCGGTGAAGAGGGCGGTCTTTGGCCCTTCTTGATTCGGTGTGACGAGTGAGTGTTATACGAGTGTAGTTATGGTTTTCTAACTCTGGTTACTTATTTTTCTTTCGGTYTTTATCTTAAACCTTAATAGTTAGGTCTTTGTTATATTATAATAAACATTTCTTTTATTCAATAAAATCTTCTATATATTTGTCTGTCTGTTTGAAACCACGCCAACCACCACACCAACACCACCCCCACAATAATTGTATTATAAAAATACTGGATTTGTTTAGTAATATAYATTAAATATACTGAATAACATATTACAAATAAAAGCCTAATAACTCTTATTTTTATTTTAAAACAGATGAAAAGTATGCCAGTAAAAAAGGAAGACAACAACAAAAGATCAGTCGCTGCTAAAAGCAAAATGGTATTATATTCTTATTTTGAAACATTAATTATTTATGTTTATGTTATATAAATATGTAAATTAATTGTAAATTTAAAAATAATAATTGTATCTTTTTTAGAAGTGTGAAAGTGGAATAAAATCTGTTKACGAAGAGACCATTATGTCTTTGCTTGCTGAAAATCTATCTATATGAAAATCTATGAGGGCTCAAATAGAAATATTGAATGCAATTTTAAAAGAATATAAATCATATTCAGCAGCTTCAGAATATTTAAGCTAATACAATGTTTCATAATCATGAACCTAATTAAACATGGTAAAAATTGTATATATTTAAAAAAAAAAATTAATGAACTGCACATAGCATAAGTGAGTAGTTAGAATTGTACATTTGAAATAAAATAAATTTGTATCATTTATATGAATATATCTATATTTATTTATTCATTTGTTYCGTTGTAAAAATATTATAAAATTACTAGGGGTGCCCCGGCCACGTGTTGCTGTTGCTAATGAATATATAGATAGATCTGAATCTACGCACATAACATTTGTCTTCTTTTTCTCTTTTTTCTTAATATCGAACCAACTGCGCATAAGCGGTAACATAAGATCACCACTTACTTCACATCATATAATTTTACATTGTCTGAATATAGGCACATAACATTTGTCTTTTTTTCTCTTTTTTCTTAATA